TCAGGGCAGTAAGGGATTACATCTTGATGATAAGTAAAAGGTTGATTAACATCACATGGAAAATAATTCATCATATGATCAGTTTTTACATGGGTTATTATGGAGGAAAGTTGTTTTCTGACTACTTGTTGTTTTATTAATTCTTAATCCACATTTATTTTGTGTCAAATTACTTACAATCAATTTTATGGTGACAAATTATTCATGACTTTTACAAATTCTTATCTGATTCAAATTAGTTTTCTATGGTTTATTGGTGCTTGAACACAATTCCTCGTGGGAACGATCTTTACTCATCATTTTATTACTTGTACGACTAGTGCACTTGCTAAACGTCCAACAAAGAGTTTCGGGATCCACATAAGAGTATCGCGTGCTCGATAGAAGCACTAGTATTGAAGAGGAAAACTTCAACACTTTAAACATAAACCTCATGTTCACTTGTACATACGTAAACCATTAATAATTATCACATATTTTATTTAGGAATAAATTTTATATTCTAATGTTATTCTTTCATGTAACCTTATAATAAACAATTCAAGATTCAAACACAAATATGCTAAAAAATTGGATGACAAGAATTGCATATAAGACGAGGGAATGACCATGTTAGAGATTTGACCTTTGCCGAAAGTCCAAGCAATTTTTGAAATTTTAAAATAATGGTTGGAGATAAAATATTTGTGGGTAGATATGTATTTATTTATAGTAGAAATTGGAAATATCATATCTAGCGTAACTTGATGCCAATTCAACATAAAATTGATTTTACAGGCAAGGGGTTTGCGACTCTGCAAGCCGTTATGCAACTCTTGATAGTTATTTATAGTAGAGGAACAACAACTTGAAGACTGTTGAGTGCTTATCTCAACAAAAATCATAAATATATGTCATATTTTTTTTTTACCTTTTCTTTTGTTGTTGTTCCTGTTAGAGTTCTAACAAAAAACTATAAAATCATATGAAGGGAACTTGGAATTTGTCCCAATCAACCCACCTTATTTAGTATCTTAAGGAAAACCTTCTAGTTGTGGATTGAAATCCCTCTCTCAATTTGCACTGTAACTTGTTATGGCAACAAAAGATACCTCCCTTATATTCTGGGTTTAATGGTTTGCCATCAACACCCTTTGTGGTACTAAAGAAATCCTTTGTGATATTCATTAGGTCACATCTGCATTCGGAACAATGTTTTCTACCTGTTACGTCACGTGTTTCAATGGCCATGATATTGAAGAACCATTTCTCTTCAAACCCATTAAGAATTCTTGCTGGGTTACCTACTAGCAAAAGGATATGGAATGTTTGAGGTTTTTCCTTGTGATTCACTTCCCAAGCCCCAATAATATGGAAGATTACTACCTTGGCATGTGCCTTGGTTTCTAATGAAAATGGATCTTTAAAAAACACTCTTAGTTGATTTTGGGTTTTTAAGGTATCTTAAAGCAAACCAATGATGGAGGTAAGTTTCATACAAAGGTACATGATTCCCTTCTCCATCAATTAGTTCAACATCGGAATTGTTGATACCAACATGACCTTGTGGAAAATCAATATCTGTCATTACTGTCTCCACAACTTATCCTGGTCCCATTTCAAACTTTTCAAACACTAAAGTTGCTGACTTGATGTGTCTTTTGGTATCCTCATAGTATGACTCTATGACTTTTTTTAGACTCATTAATTAACATATTAATTTTCTTCGAAGATGTCTTAAGAAGAGTTTAGGGATCCACGTAGGAGTATCGCGTGCTCGATAGAAACACTAGTATTGAAGAGGAAAACTTCAACACTTTAAACATAAACCTCATGTTCACTTGTACATACGTAAACCATTAATAATTATCACATATATTTTTTTGGTATCCAATTATCACATATTTTATTTACAAATAAAGTTTATATTCTAATGTTATTTTTGTTGAGGAATCCAAGTGTGAATGATTGAGTGAAAAAATCTCACATTGGTTAAGAATGGACTAAGTGACCACCATATAAGTGGAAGGGTTTGGGTTTGGGTTTGATTATGGTGTTCCAAGCCCACTTAATATTGCTGCTCACTTGGCCGATGGTTGGCGGTCTCTCCCCGCCATGAGCTCCCCGTGCACGGCCCAACAATTGGTATCAGAGCTAATGGTGGAGTAAGAATGAGCACCGTATAAATGGAAAGACCCATGTACCTAATGCTTTAAGGTTTTGGGTTTGATTGTGGTGTTCTGAGCCCACTTAAGGTTGCTGCTCACTTGGCCCATGGTTGGCGGTCTCTCCTCGCCATGAGCTCCCCGTACACGGCCCAACAATTTTTTCATGTAACCTTATAATAAACAATTCAGGATTCAAACGTAAATATGCTAAAAAATTGGATGACAAGAATTGCATAGAAGACGAGAGTAGATATGGAGGTCCAAGCAATTAGATATGGAGTTATTTATAGTAGAAATAGGCAATGTCATTTCTAGGGTAACCTGATGCAAATTCAACATAAACTTGATTTTACAGGTCCCGGGCATGCGACTCTGCAAGCCGTTATGCAACTCTCGATAGTTATTTATAGGAGGAACAACAACTTGATGACAATTGAGTGTTTATCTCAACAAAGATTTTTTTTTTTCGTTGTTGCTTTGAGAGGTTCTAACAAAAAATTATAAAATCATATGAAGGGAAATGTTATCCCATATAAATAATAGGTTCATTTTTTCTACCGTCAATATAAATAATTTATTTACATTGAGTCCAAAATGACATCGTTTTGAGGCAGAAATTAAGGTATTTTTGTAATTTAATTTATTTAAGGATTATAATAATCTTTTTAATTATAATTTTTTAATTTTATAATAAAAAACAACATCGTTGTGAGAGTGAATATAAATAACTTATCTATCTTTAATGTAAAAATATTAAAAGCCATAAATAATTCAATGACAGAGCTACGACCTGCAGAGAAAAATAATGCCATAGATCTTTTTGTTTTTAGTGAGTTTCAAGACACCAAAGAAATTTTCGCTGATAATTTCAACATTTTGTTTTCTATTTCTTTTTCTTTCAACAAATTAACAGATTTTTTCTCGAACTTCTTACCTAGACAATATAAGCATCCAGTTAAATAATATTGTTTTATACAGCTAAAATTTAGATTTAAAATATTTTCTTACCAAATATTTTGTTGAACTTTTTCAAAACAACTTCACAAGTTGGGTTTCAAAATTTTTGGTAAATTTGATTCAAATTTTAAAAATCAAAATAAAAATTCATGTATTCGAAAAAAAAAAGAGATTGATTTATATTTCCTCTTTTGGATTTTCCTCACCTACCACATCTAAGGATTGCGTTCAATATGGTTAGAGCTTATTTATGTGTTTTCCATCTCATAGCAAACAAAACTTTCCTAACAAGGGAATCTGTTGTATAGATATGAATTGTCAAATAATTGCCCCTTAGCCAAATTATGGTAACTGCATGCACCTGTTATATCTTTGCAAATTTTCTCTATCCTCTACCCAAATTATGTTTAAGCCCTTTACTCATTAAATTAAAATGAAAACTAACTTTACACAAAGGACACATGTTGGTCTTATATTCACCCACTTGATTTTTGGGAGAGATTTAAAATTTTAATCCCGAGATCCGCTCCAAATTGAACTAGTTGTCAAATGATGAACCAATTGAAATATCTACAAAAAAATAAAATAAAAAATCCCTTCATAATTTAATGAAAAACAATCATAATGCGTGCACATAATAAGGCAAAAGGTTTCATAATTGGCCTCATCATAAATCACAATTAGAAATAAAACAAACAAGAGCCATAGCAGTTCCATGCTATCAAATAGACAAAGTTTGTTCCATGTACCAATATATTAAACCATCTTTCCTAACAAATATACTTCAATGGATGTATACATCATGTCCAATAATAACACAATAATGTCTTAGACAAATCTTGTATTTCAATATAATGATTCATACATGCATGTAAGGATAAATTTGAAAATAGGATGCTTTGAGAAACATATGCGTCATTGAATTCGTAATTTCAATAGTTAATAATTACATTAATTAATGATCAACATTTTTTAGTTGGCATAACGTGTGAACTACACAAATGACCGGTAAACGTCTTGGACCGTAATTTCTTCTTCAAGATCGGATCAGCTATTATAAGATTAGTGTTAGTATATTTTATAAACACTCTACGTTTCTTAACCTCTTTTATAATGGCGAAATATTTAAATTTTGTATGCTTAGCAGTTTTTGAATAATTGTCATTTTTAGAAAGCAATAATAAAAAATATGTTTATACATTAAAAAATGTGTTTGGATCAGAAATTTACTGCAGATGTATTTTATTAATTATGTACCAAGACTTTGTTAACAAGCTAATTACGTATTCTAAAGGATCAGAGTTGTGTTTGCTATGTCGGCTAATATGTAACTTTAACAAATTAAAAAAAAAAAATAACAAAAAACATTTAACTAATCTGGCCATAAAAAGGAAATTATGCCATCTAGACGATTTTTGTTGAGATAAACTCTCAGCTGCTGACGTCAACTTGATATGCCCATAAATAGCGCTCCATAGAATTGTTGAATGGCTAGCATAAGTTCAAGCATCTAGAAACCACTTTCAAATAAATTCAAAACATTTGAGACGCTCAACAGAAACAAGCATCTAGAATCTATGTTGAATTGGCATTAAGTTACGCGGCTAATTCATTGCCAAACAATCTACTATAAAAGCAATAAACTCGAACTCCTTATGTACACAAAGTTATCTCCACCCATTATATTAAAATTTCAAAAATTGGTTCTACCTCCGACAAAGACCTTTTGTCCACAATGATCATCCCTTCATCTTCTTGTCATGTGGTATGCGATTTTTGTTTCCAAGTTCATCTTACGCTTTATCTTCTTTAAACTAACTTAATGTGCCTGCCCTTTAAATATGTTTACATAAAAGAATAACATTACAAATATTATCCATAACTAAACATGTAATAATGATGCTTTGCACACAGGTAAACACAAGGTTTATCTCTAAAGCGTTGATACTTCCATTATCAATCCTAGTGTTGCTATCAAGCACAACATACTCATTTCAAGAGAAAACTTGGTTAAATATTGAGTCTCCAAAAGGGCATAATGGAGTCAAGTCAGCTACTTTTGTGTCTAAAAAGTTTGAAATGGGACCAGGATCAATTTTAGCGGAAGGTTTTTTTGATATTGAGTTTCCAAAAGGTCATGTTGGAATCAAGAGTGTCGATGCTGAACTAATTGATGAAGAAGGGAATTCTGTACCTTTGTATGATACTTACCTTCACCATTTTTTTATCATAAGATACTTTGAAAATATTACCTTGTCAAAGAATCCTAAGGCTCGTCAGAGTAAACTTGAAGGTTTCATTTTCAAGAGAAATGAAGGCCCATGCTACGATTATGTTCTTCCATTTTATTGGGGCATGGGAGGTGAATCAAGAAAAACATCCTCAAACATTCCAGATCCTTTTGCGGTAGAAATAGGTAACAGAAATTCCCGATGGATATGAAGAGGACAAATTTCAATGCAAATTGAGAGAGGGTTTTCAAGGCCCAAGGAGAAACCTTTCCCTAAGATACAAAATAAGGTGGGTTGATTGGGACCAACACCAAATTCCTGTGAAGATTTATGTACTTGATTCAACCGACCAGGTGAGATCAAACGGATCCAAAGTAGTCCATGAGTGCCAGGTAAATTAATAAATTATTCATGAAGTAGACTTTTCAATCTTAATTAAATTCAAAATCAAAATTCTTCAAAGCAAGCACTCAGCAACAAATATCGATTAACTTGTTACAGGTAGAATATACTGTTCCCGCGAATGGAGGTAATGACTCTCCTCATGTCCAGAAAGCAAACATCCCAATGCAAAAGGGTGGTTATCTCATCTATGCCAGTGGTCATATGCATTCAGGTGCTATTAATGCAACTCTATACGGACAGGTAATTAATGTTCATTATTTTGTATCATTTTCAAATAGTCTTTATCATTTGTTGTAGATTATGCTTTATTAAGCTCTGTGTGCTTGATTTGTTTCTTTAAGTTATATTTTAGCTTGACTCATACTATTGTAATTAAGAAGTCA